GTTTTGCAAATTGTTCCCTTGTGTTGCACTTACTTTGCTGTCACTCTAATTCCCCTGGTTACTTGCTGGACGGCTGTACTGAGCTCAAGCTTCCCACCTACCTTTAGTAACTCTAGTCTCTTCTTGAAAACACAAAGTTTGGAGAAATTTAAACATGGATTACAAGTACTGACGTGGGGATTTTAGTACGTGCCTTTGCTAAAGTGTAATGTAGCAGCGCCTCCACGGAACCAGTCTTGGATTATTTCTAATGTTGGCTCAAAATGCATATTTTTTCCTTAAAACTATTGTGCATTTTTCCACAGTGAGAGAGTTCTTTAACAGTGGGGGTGGGGAAAGGGAACACCTTTTTAAAATGGGGTCTTTGTGATTCCACAGTTCATGATGGTTCTATTCCAAAGCCTGGAAACGCTTTCATCTTTATTTTTCAAGTGTTCTTCACAAAATAAAAAGTCATTTCTATATGTCTATTTGACTTGTCCATGCATGTCTCACTGATACATTTATAGGGAAGGGCATGAATTGGTTTCTAATGTTGGATGGGGCACAACCTTCATTAAGCTTTAATTTCCCATCCTGTTCCTAAGACAGCATTCTGATCTCTGTGCAAGAAGTTTCCCCAACTCGACTGGGCTTGCACTGTGTGAAGACCTGGGTTCAATTGGAGGACTGGGATTTTGGTGCAAGTTAGAGATTTTTACGCTTGTGTTTTTCCTCTTTTTCAAAAAGCCTGGTCTAGTATCAACTGCCCGTTATTTCAACTCCGTGTTTGTGCACAAATGTATTAATCTGGTCTGTTTTTAAAGGGAACTAGCATAAACAATCTAGAGGACTGTGGCTCTGCATAGAGTAAGAAACACAGATTGCTAAGGAATGGTTATCTTTTGTATCCACTCCTGGTGCCGTCTTGTAAAAGAGCAAGTGTTCAGCTCAGGGAGTCTTCTTATGAGAAAATTGTGTGTTTTCTTTTTCTTTTCCTCATAACTTGTTCCAGTTTGCTGAAGTGATTACGGAGCAGGAGGAAGTGGCCTGTTTAAAAAGCTAAGTCCTTCTTGCTGAATTTAATTCTCCCTCAGCAGCTACTGAACAGAGCCGTCGTGTTCTGAAGGGTGTTGCAGGTACAAACCCCAAGAAGGAAGAGCGACGGCGCAGGGGGATGTGAGCGGGGCAGGTGAGCGATGGCGCAGAGGCTGCCGTACCCATCTCCTCTGGCTGCCATCGCTGGCCAGAGCCAGGTTTTGACTGTCAGCTCCTGGCAACTTCTGTGAATTATAGCTGTGTTCTTAATTTCCAGAGAAGTTTAACCCTCCTCCAACCACCAGCCCTTTTGCTCATAAGGAGATTGATTTTCATATCATAGACTCAGTGTGCATGGCTGGTGGCCAAATGAACTTGGTTAATGGCCAGGTTGTGATAAGAGGGACTTGCTCAGTTCTACAGAGTATCAATTTTTTTCTTAAAAAACTGTGGAGAACAAGGAAAGGGAATTTGGAAAGGAAATGGGCTGATCCTTTATTTTTGTTGTTTGAATTCTACAGCAAAAGTTCTAACAAACAGTAATAAAACAATTTTCTGAAATTCACATCAGTGAGCATGGCAATTCACAAAGCAATAAAAATACAAACCCCATCTTAATATAGACTACAGTTGCATGCTTTTGTTTCTTTTTCCATCAAAAGGCTTTCAAACTAAAAGACTCAAGGCTTAAAGGAAAAAAAAAAGAGAAAGAGCAGGTTTCTCAAATGCATTGAGGACAACTTCTTAAGCCAGGTAATAGGCACCCCTACCCGAGGGGATGCGATACTGGACCTGGTGGTCACCAATGCAAGCGAGCTCGTCAAAGATGTCAAGATCGGAGGCAGCCTGGGCTGCAGTGATCATGCGCTGGTAGAGCTCACGCTCCTGAGGGAAATGGGAAGAACGAAGAGTATAGTCAGGACTCTGAATTTTAGAAAAGCAAAATTCCAGCTCCTCAATGAGATAGTCAGAAGGACTCCCTGGGAAACGGTCCTCAGGGACAGGGGAATAGAACAGAGCTGGCAGATCCTTAAGGAAGTGATCCACAGAGCGCAAGAGCTCTCGATCCCTAGGTGTAAGAAATCAGGGATCTTTAAGGATGTGATCCACAGAGCGCAAGAGCTCTTGATCCCTAGGTGTAAGAAATCGGGCAAAGAAGGGAAGAGACCAGCATGGTTGAGACGAGAGATGCTGGTCAAACTAAGGAGGAAGAGGGAACTGCACAGGCAGTGGAAGCAGGGACAGGCATCCTGGGAAGAGCATAGGGACGTGGTCCGGTTGTGTAGGAATGGGGTCAGGAAGGCCAAGGCGCGGCTGGAACTAAACTTGGCTAGGGATACAAAGAACAATAAGAAGGGTTTCTACAGGTATATCAGCTGGAAAAGGATGGTTAAAGAAAGCATACCCC